CTCTTATCTCGAGAACTGAAGACGTCGTGGAATTGTCGAAGGAAAATGAAACCCTCATGCGAGTTTTCGCTTTCTGGAAGGTTGTAATCTTTCTTCACTCATTTGGCCCTAAGTATGCTTGTGTGCGCATTACGCGTGAAGAGTTCACTCTGGGAGATGATGAGTGTGCCCTATATACATATACTAACAAAGAAGTTATACACAAGAACTGCAACTGGAGCTGAAACCAGACGAAACTAGAGATATTCACTTGACATCCTTAAGCAATGTAGCGGCAAGGGCGCTTGATGTTGCTTGATGCTTTCGCACGAACTGCAACTCGTAAAGGCTTTGGATACAAATCAACAGCAGTGCTTGGAGACTTTCTTTCAAAATTTGTTCAGCGATTTTGTACTTTTTCTTTTGATTTGGGATGCATTTAAAAGAGTCAACTGTTCTTCACAATGCGGACTACTTAAATTGACGTCTTGCTAATTTGCCATTCAGTGAGACATGGAAAATTCAGAAAGATTAGAACAGCGCACCAGTCTTGGACATCCATTCAATAACAAGCTGTTGTTCTACCAACGACCTCTTCAAGATAATCTTTCATAACGGTTCTTTTTTAAACTTCCTTGCCACAGACCTCTTGACTGACTGTTGCACTTTTTGGCAAAGTACTGGTCCTTCAAACCCCTCTACGGTTAGCGATTCCTCGCCTGCAAAAGAACTGACATGTCGAGTACTCCAGAAATGTCTACTTGAAGCTTCTCTGAGCTGGAAGTGTACGCGTGACAATTTCAACTGCATTCAATGATCTTGCAGCTAATCCATTGCTATGACTGATTGGTACTATTTGTTAAGTTCCATCGTGTTTTACTGGGATCTTGTACTTATACTCCTTTGAGTTTCATGCTAATAAATTTATGGCGCATCCTTCAGTGTAGACTATAGGAGGGAAACGTTGACGGAGAGTAGAAGGTCACAATTGCTGGATGAGGCTGACACGCCTCCTACTCACAAGATGACAGTGCCATTAGACTTACAAGGGAAGGATCCTAGGTCGTCATGGTCATTCAAAACGGGATGTTCATTCCAATGTATCTTGAAGCGCTGATTTCAAGTTTAACTTCCAGATCTGTTAAACAATTCTTACACGGAAGCCATGCAGGACGTTGTACACATAAAGCAACCGAAATAGCATGAGATGTGTAGCAGTGGTGTAGTTGGTGGCGGGTCGGTCTCGGGATCGATTCATTGGGGTGTTTGCTGTTTTGCTTTTTCTAGAAGGATGATTGAACGCACTTTCATTTTTTTAAACTCACTACTTCATCAGTGATTGCTTGCCTTGCATAATGAGGAGTTGCTGGAAATCTACATCATTGAGAACTGGGTCACGCCACTACCGATCGTGGCGCAGTATTAGCGTACCGCCAGTGTTTTTTTGCGCCAACGAGTGTGATAGGTGGCCAAAGTGGCCCAGAGAAGCCAGTGAAGGGTGCGTGACTATTCAATCGTGGCGATAGGCTAGGTCGCCGCGCCAGCCGCCGCAGCCCGCGATGCGACGTCGGCCGTGGTTAGAATTCAGGGTTCTAGCATTGGGGAATGTAGGATTAGACGAAGTTCCCAGTCGTGAAACACGGTATATGATCACCTGCCCCTTAAAGTACAGGATCCTTGTCCTTTGCCATTATTTACAAACTTATTCTGTCATATTAATGACCCCGGAGGGATCAAAGCTTGGGATTGAGTCGCCCGGGCCAACCAAGCCTTCCATCCCTCCGGGGTCGGTTAATTGGTACCAGACTTGTCTGGGAGGATAAAAACACTGACTTGAACATCGGCTGGCCCCCGCAAGTCATTGTATAGGCCACATCGCATTCAAATGCCACTGCGAATGTACAAATGGAAGTAGAATGCGTGCCGCATCCCAAAACGGGATTGATCAACGGCAAATGCTTTATCCCTTTTCCTTTTATCCTTTACTAATTTATTTGCTTTACTTCGGGTTTCAACTTGCGTTGTGAGAGCGGTATTATTTTTCGATTGTTAGCCAGACTATCGCTCTCTGATAACAATTCAAGCAGTTGATAAATAAAGAAGACTCATTATGTTCAAAAGGAACACGTTTACATGGCAAAGTTCTGTCCAGTGGGGCTTAGATAAATGCGGAGATCTTAGGTGACTCTTGCTGGTCAATGATGTTGAAACGTTGGTTTATCAGTTTTAATCACACAATCACCCTTTATGGACAGGCTTTATGCCAAGGCCATACAATAGCTCGCCAAATACGTTGCCGCGAGGCGACGCTAGCCTGGCGGCGTGACGTCGTTAGCGAAAGATTGATTGACCGTCTGCCGCCAGTGAAATCTGAAATTTCAACCTTAATCCGAAAAAAGAGGGTACTCATTAATGTTTTCCTTACCAGTCAGCAATCCTAGCGTTTGTCGATCACGTACATCCAACCTTTCGATGGAACTCGCTCATTGTCATCAAAACTTCAACAATAACGGAGCGCTCAAATCAAACGGTCGGAAATGCCAAGAAAAACAGAGTGAAGATTGGGCTGTGGCCAAACACAACTGTGTGGTTCCGCTACAAGTCTGAAATAAAGCCAGGAACGCGGACAACATAGAAGAAATTATTTTTCTTCGTAATTGGCGGTGTATCTTTCGTTAAATGGTTTCAATTCAACTTGCAACACTATTTGAACATAACGTGAAGTAACTGAAACTTGATCTCATTCCAATACCAGCCTTCTACTACAGCTGGATAGATAAAGAATGTGATTACTGCCCAATTTTATGAAGTTAGGTCATAATTTCAGATTTGGCTAAAAAGCTGCTCACGGCTGCAATTTTACTCCATAATCATGGGTGCCACACTAGTACCGCGGGCCGGCTGCTTCCTTTTTCTGACGCCACATTGGGAGATGAACTCAATCCAACTGCTCAGCTTCATTTTAGACATTCAAATGACACATAGACGGAGCGCGACTCTTTTATGTCCGTATCGAGGGCTGTAGCGGTTGAAAGAGAATTAAACTCTAAAAGCAATGAACATGATATACCAACAAACAGTCATACAACGTAATTCTTTAAAAAAACATAACATGCCCGGCGGTGGAGAAGAGTCGTCCCGACTCTCAGCTTCATCGATGCCATTCACTGGAAGAGCTCGGCTGCTGGGTACGATCCTTTCCAAATTTTCGGATCATTTGTGGGCGTGTGTCCATGCGGGAGTCCTGTGTCTGCAGAATACTCGTTCGCCTTCGCTTTTGGTCCTCGTTCGACTCCCTTGCTGCTCATCCATCGGTCCACGGGTGACCGTTTGCGGAATGGCATTTTGAAGTCGGCGGCGGGTCCGTCCTGGATCTGTGTGACGAAGAAGTTTGGCTTGAACCCAACGTTCAAAGAAGCCCGCACTTTCGAACAGTGTCACGTGACAGTGGACCCTTTTTGAAAGTGGCGGGACTTGACAGTGGACACTGTTTGAAAGTGGCGGGCTTCCTTTGAACGTTGGGTCCCGCCACTGAGTCGCTGGTACATCGTTCGACTCGCTGGTACATAGTTCGACTCGCTGGTGCAACGTTCGATTCGCTGGCGCAACGCTCGGATCCAGCGATTCGCTAGCGAATCGCTCGATTCGCAAACTATGACATCGGCCTAGCCGAGTCCATGTGCAACCCACTGTGGTCGATCACGTGGCCGAGGAACTCAACAATTCTCTCCAAACAAACGCATTTCTTTGGCGTTCAACTTCGAGTCGTGCTTTTAATAATTCCCTGAAAAACTCGTTCCAAGTTTCGTAGATGCTGCTCCACCGTTCCGGTCGCTACCATTGATGTCATCCAAGTAGCAGAACACTTCCTCTCCTAGCAGAGGACCCAGAACAGCATGCATCAGTCGTTGGAAGACGGCTGGCGAGGACGCTAGACCGAATGGCAAAACCCGAAATTGGTATAAGCCTTCGGTAGTCGTAAACGCCGATTTTTCCTTGGCATCAGCCGACAAGCTGATTGCCAGTAGCCTGACGATAAATCCAAAGTCGAGAAGTATCTTTTACCCTTCAAGCTTTGCAAAATCGTGTCAATCGTTGGCAAGGGATAACTGTCAACTCTTGTCACCTGATTGAGCTTCCGATAATCCACGCATAATCTGAGAGTTCCGTCCTTCTTCTGCACCAACACGATGGGCGAAGCCCAACTCGATTTACTTGGTTCAATGATCTTTCGTTCTTGCAAATCATTCAGAATGCGTCGTAGCTCCACTCGCGTGCCTAGTGGCACCGGACGGGCTTTCTGCCTAATGGGCATTGCATCACCGGTCTCGATACTGTGTTCCACTAGCGTTGTTTGAGTGAGCTCTTGTTCGCTCACCGCAAAGGCATGAGCGTACCGTTTGACAAGGTCCTCCACTGCTTCATTGCACTCCCCACTTGTCCTGTTGCTTTGGAGTAACTGAGCAAGTTTCTCTTCCCGATCTGCAGTTACTTCCACTGTACGCTGCAGCATGTCTCCGGAGTATTTGACAGGCTCCACTTCCACAACTTCCGTAGGCTTGGTTCCCACCTTCCTCCCCTACTCGGAAAATCTTTGCTCCTGCAAAGGACATTTGTTCACGGGCAATGTTGTTGCCTGATTTCCACCTTTCCCATACGACATCTGGAAACAGGTGCTCCTCGGACGGAAAGATACCTCTTGCGCTGCGCCATTGCGCCAAATGCGCAGCGATTTCGTCTCACCCAGACAGGAGTACATCTCTTGGGAATGAAGACTGGAATGCAATTTTTGGGCCCGTGTCTTTCCGTGACCCTCGACTTTTTAAGAAAGGGGCAGTCTTTTTGTAGGTGTCCCTGTTTATTACAGTTCTAACATTTCATAGAGAATTGCCGATGTTCACCTCCTAACCGCGCTTCTTTCCCGTTGACTGCGCCTGTTGGTGGTGCCACAGGGTTCTCTGCAATGCTCGCTCTGGCTCGCTCTGAACCTTTGACCAGCCATGCGTCTTTTGCGTTGCTCACGGCTTCGATTATAACATGTAGAAGCATTGCTGTCGCCACTTCATTTCACGCAAAATTGCACGTGTGGTACGGACGCCAAGTGCTGCCATGAGGGAATAGCGCAGGACTTGTCAGCAGCTTCTCACAAGTTCCTTGTGCAGGCAATTTGAGGAAAGCGCTGATGAAGAAACGCTGTTGTAGGTTGCTCTAGCTTCACTGCTGTGCCGGCAAAAGCAAAAGACCAACATGTGCGACGTATCGTTACGAGCAGCGACCACTAAGGCTGCGCTATTTGCTTCATAACTCGTTCAGAAAATCGTTTAGCAGATTTGGAAGGTAGATTTGAGATCAGCGTTCCAAAGGACACAAGGAGTGTACATCTCTTTTGAATGGCCATGGCGAAAAAGAATCCTTTCCTTGTTAGACCGTTGACACAGTCCAACTCCGCCCACTCTTTTTCCCTCCAAAACGACCATCGAGCGGAGAGCGGGAGGGGAAGGAGGAGTAAGTTTGAAGACTGGTTCAAGTAAGCTGGTATCATGAAGCGGCAAATCCACCAATTTTGCTTAATTCCCACTACGCTCATAAATTTTCATCGAATTAATCAAAAATCCTTCCAAACACAAACCACTTCTAACACCTCCGTCAACCTCCGTTCCCACCAGGGGTGGAAATCCTGTCGTAGGAACGCCAACCCCCCATTCAGTCTACTCCTATAGGACCCCTCTTTACCCTCCGCAGATCCACTTCCATGATAAAAATGTTAGAGTACATAAGGAGACAGCGCCGCGCAATCAAATGCTCAGACGTTCAGATCTCTGGACCTAACTTTAAGGTTAGGCTTTCACAAAGTATGCTGTTGTGACCAAAACTTTCGCCCAGGCGGGACTAGACCGCACCTTTACTTATTATCTAATTATAAGAACATGCACCTCAAACGGACTCAACTGTGATAGGACGCGAAACCCAGAATAACAGCAGGAAGCTAGACTTCTTACTAGCCAAAATGGCGCAGAAAATGCAGAGGGTGCTGCCTACAGCATGTCAACAATGGCTCTAGTATAGGCGGCACTAACAGTCGCGTCGTTGTGCTTGGAGGCGCGATTAGTGGACAAAAATCGCCCGAATGTACCCCCTATTTTGAAGGATCATTACTTTCTTCAAGACAGTCATCACAGAATGGAGACAGTATCCGACTGCGTCCACTTCTACACTTCTACATAGTGCATGACATTTGTTTCAAGCGTTTTAACTCGAGAAATGGAGAACGTCGAGGACAAGAAAATTGGAATTGCATCGCGAGTTTTCACTTCTTCAGAGACGCAACTTTGTTCATTGGTAGATTATTTTGATAAATCGGAATTCACCACTGTGAACTAGGAGATTTGCGCTTTTCGAGATATTTTGCGGTTGTTCTGTACATTCTCTAGTTCGCGAGAAATTTGCGTTGAGGAAAGGTGCTTTCAAGCGGACGTGTTGCAAATATGAAGCTGTTCTTAGTCCTAAGCATTATGCAGAAGAGTCTCTTACGGCCCAGTATGGTAATGATCATTCCTTATCATCGTCACTTCCTTTCCGACAAAAAACACAATGTTCGCAATGAAGACGTATTGCGGCTGCAGTACTTGGCCATGCCAAGGAAACTGCGAATTCCCCTCGTTTCCGAACTCTACTAGCATACTGTTCCTCCACTAGATTCTCAAATGACCTTAAAGCCACGAGTCAGGATTAGGCAACCAGCAGAAGTTCTTCCCAGGGTGCGATAGTGGGCTCCCCAAGCACTGAGGGCGCGACACTATCGCGACCCAAAAGTGCGCGGCAATGGCGCTAAGGCCTTGCCCGCCGCGCTGCCCGCGCTGCCAGCGTAATCCACCACGGCATACGTGGTCTCTGCGTCCTCTCGCGTATGACGTACTATCTCGCGTTCTCCCTCTCCTCGCAGCGCTGTGTCTCTCCGTCGTACTACGGCCGGCCTCCTAAGGGAAATTTAGTGTTTTCTATGGTGCTTTTTGCTTTTTCTCCTCACTAATGTTCCTCATTGCACCCCTTGCCTAATGTTTGAACAAAATAACGCATCAATTCAATCCCGACTCGTGCCTTTAAAGGAATACTAAACACTAAATACTCGCTGCCATTCCCGGGATTTCTTCCGCAGAACGGGTTTCCTCCCTATATCTTCGTACTAATCACTACGAACAGATCAGCAAGCTCTTTCCATATAAATTTTCAATTCAAGATAGATGAACGCATCATTTGCATTACGCTAACTAAAACACTTGTGAAATTACTGATGACAGCGAATGAGTCGCAGCAGCACCGTTGTGCTATTGATGAACCTTGTGCTTACGACCCCCTCTCTCATCGGAGCAAATACGACCCCCTGTCGAGGAATTCCTCGACCGCTATTCGCCCTGGTTCCCCCCTATGTACCAGACGTTGCTCGATCCTCAAAATGTCATCCCGCCCCCCCCAGAAATAACCAATACGATGCCCTTCGTTCCGAATCAGTGCGAATAGACGGTTGACCTGGTCAGAGGTATTGAGACTTTTCGTGCAGAAAGGTTGAGGTAACCGAGGACGTAGTAATTGGGTTGGGCAGACTTAGAGCTGGAAAACCTAGGAGAAAACATATGGATGGTTTCCAACTAAACCTGGTTGCCTTGTCGCGTGGGGTGACAGTGATTTTAGCCCGACTAATTAATCATTGAGGTATCAAAGCCCAGCCTTGACCAGGCGGCCCTGTCCTTAAAACAATCGCCGGGTTAAAGGAATCTTGCGCGGAAAAATCATGATTCTATTTCAGCCATAAATCACTGGCTTGAGACTCATTATCCACGATAATAGTGAAAAGAACTGAAGTATTGCTTTCGTTTTGATTAGAAATTCGAAAACTCGAAAAGGCTGCTACGCGTTCGAATTGCCCACGGACGTCTTTCACGAATGCTGGCGACGGGGATGCTCAAACTTGGTTCTTGGAGTGCATTCACTAGAAGCTCTTTCTGGCCTTCTGCTTCGTTGCATTCACATCTTACACTTCTACTCCATCCTATTCCATCGATCGATTTGTCTCCACTCTCCGAAATCGCGCGCTTTAACCCGATTCTCTCATTGCGTCGCCTGGTACGTAGCCGGCCAAACGCCGTCTTCTTTCCATGCCTCGCCTGGCTCTGCCTCCTGGTCCTTCGATGGTCCATAACGTGTAGTTTTTGTACGTTTGTTTCTCTTCAGAAACCGAATCTTCATGCGTGAAACTTTGTGTGCTATTTCCAGTGATCACAACTGACATATTCATGTTAGGAAAGAGTGCAAGAATTTTCCGCGCAAGATTCCTTTAAAGGTAAAAGAATTCGAGCATCCAGCATGGGTCGGGATTGGGTCCGAAAAATAGATCCTCCCAGAGTAAAAGAGGGGCTCAGTGCAGGAGGCGTGACAACTTGTGACACAAAAAGTGCGCGAGCAACGAAGCTAATGCCTTTGCGGTTGTGGCCCGTCTTCGCCAACCCGCGACCCATCATATCCTGCACCCTCTCCATCCCCTTTCCTCACAGTGCTGTGCCCCGTCATACCGCGGTCGATCTCAAAAGGGAAATGTCAATAATTTCCTGGCGCTCCCTGCTTTTCTCCCCAATAACTTTCCTCGTTGCACTTCTTGTCAAGATATCGAACAAAGGAACACACCAATTCGATCCCGACTCGCGCCTGTAACTTGTGAGTTGCTCAATCACTGAATTGAGTCTAATTCCCTCCTTTTGGAAAGGAGTCGACGGCTGTGTGTTGATGTTGATGATAGACGGTGACAAAGTATATCTCAGGTTTTCAGGTTACACCGTCCCTGGAAAATCCGCGAAACAATTGGGGCGAGTAACTTCCGACCACTCTAGTAGAAAATGTCAGCTGCTGAACAGAAATTCACGAAGGGTCAGATTCCATGTAGATCAGTATGTGTCGTCACTTCCGCACGACTTCTTCAAAGGGTCGCGCCTAGTATGGTGTGCGCGAGTGCCGGTCGCTCATCTGGTCGAAAATTCTGGAAGCAGACAGAGTTGCATAGCTCGCGCATTCTCGCCCTCCGTTCAGTCTTCACGTCGACAACGCCAAGTCTGGCCGCTACGCTGTTCGCTCTTCTGTCGTACTCCTGCCGTTACTCGGACGACGCCGTAAAAGCCCTTGTGGAGCATGGATGGATCAAAGAGGCATGGACGCCCGATATGGACCGCGGGAGCGCTATCACGTCTCCCTCCAGGGCTCAATTCCTCCCCCCCCCCGGAAGGAAATGAGCCCTGGAAATGTTCTCCACAAGTTTAGGTCTTCCTACTTCGTGGAAATTGCTACTATTCTATTCATACTTAATCATTCGTAGTTTCATATGAATCCATGGTTTCATGTGTTTTTCATTACCTCCTGAACCTGTGATTCCACCAAAGACATAATTAATTATCGGGTCCACTCGTGAACGAGGTAGTTAATTTTGTCTTACACGTACTCGAGCTCGTTGTAAAATAGATGATTTCC